ACCATAGAAAAACTGCTGAATGCCTTTATTTTTGCATTTGCTTGTATGGCTAAAATGTGCTAAAAGGGATCCAAATGAACTTTACTGGTCAACTTTGCTGTAGAACAGGTGTATGATTCAATTGATTGCCAGCTATGTTAGATCAGACCATGCCAAGCCATCGAATCTGTGAACATGATGGACCCATATATGGACCTAGGCTCTGACCCAGAATCCTAACAGAATCTTGGTAATTCGTCGGATCTTCACCAAACCCAGGTGTTTGGAAGCTGCACAGCTTGAAGAACTCACGTTTCACTGCAAACAGACATGAGAATCTTGCAAGGGTCAAGAATGGTCAAGAGAACAAAAACTGCCTCTCGGGTTGATGGTTGAATTGCTGTTGCCTATTCATTGTGAATGATGTGTTAGGATCAACTGGACAAAAGCGGTGGCTACAGTAAAATTATGTAAAATTTGGTGCATCTGCTTTGTGGAAGTCGAATCCGCAAATCATGCAGGCCCATATGTTGGCTTGTTTAGAAGAGATGATATGACCCAAATGAGCCCCAGTTGTGCCCAGTGTGTCCGCCCGTGAAAACATGTCCTGCCTGCCGCGTGGCCATCCTCCATGGCCAATGATACCAAGCGGGCTCGGCCACCAGGTCCGCGCGAATCCTTGGCGGCCTGGGTCAAAACGAGCTGCAAAAATCCGTCGGGTAGTTACTCTATATCTATATATATATATATCTATCTATATCCTCAATTCTAATTGTGTAGGCCTTTGTCAAAACAAACGAGTGTCAGTACGCTATAACAATCTGGTGCTGGCACTATGTCCGGCGTTGATCGAAGGCACTGGCGTTGATCGTTCATGCGGCTGGACTCTACAACACATCTATCCGAGGCCTCCCAGCAAAAGCGCACTCGCACGCCAACAGCCAAATCAGCCGATGTCAACCCGGAGTCCTGGGCCGACATCGTAGCTCACACGAGACTCGGTTTGAAGGTGTGCAATCCTAGAAACCAATCTCGGATTAGCCTCATGTCATTTTCCCTCTCAGTAGGATGCATCATCTAAGCGGATCACACCTGGGGACCCTCTCTATCAAAGCAGGCTTGGCTCCACGACTCTCCGGGGCCCGTCTCTCGCTAGGCTTACGGCTGGTCGAATGGTGAGGGTCGAACAACTAGAGTAGCAGAGGGCATCAAGGAATCAAAAAGGTTCCCAGCTATATGCTCTAGGGACAAAGCAGGCTCTTGGAATCATTGCTGGCATATGCGGCATATGTGCAAGATGGTGCAAGCATCTGGGACAGAACTACAATTTGTGAAAACAGCTGAAGGACCTAAACACCCAACTCCAAATGACTCAGTTGGGGCATTTTTTGTCCAGAAAGAAATGATGTATCTGATGTCGTGTTCCCTTGTTGTGAATATAGGTTCTGACTGGCTCGGTGTATCTATATATTCCATACTCTGTTTAAAGTACACTGGAGCCCACCGGAGCCAGTGCCCATCAACCCTCTAAGCATCAGAAACTCCGTTTCTCAGGCTTGGCGTTTCCGCGCCGCCAAGCCGCGCGGAAACCGCATCGATGGAGTTGGTGCGGTGTTTTCTGCAAAAAAGGTGGACACCTATAGTCTAGGAACAAAGGGCATCGCTAGTGGCCTCCTGATCGACTCAACAACTCTTGCGACTTCACCGACATGCACCAGAAGGCATCGCGCCGAGTTCGCGGGGGATCCATGGCTCGCTTTGCCTCCAAAATTCCCACATCGGTTTTTAAAATCATCAAAAATCTATTTGCTTCTGTATATATATATATATACCTGGAAAGGCGTATGAACACTCTTTTTTGTGCGAAGGCCGTATTTGGACAGAATTTATCGTATGGACATTTTAATTAACGAATTAGCGTATTTAGCCGTATGGACAGAAAAACAATACCGTACAAAAGCGTACCCATATGAAACCCAAACTTTATCAACATTTTATCGACAAAAACCCAAAAAAATATATTGATAAAACCCAATCAAACCCAATATTCGGAGGAATTCCAGAAAATTTGTCCATTTGACAAAAAAGGCCGGATGCACGGATTTTTTGTGCGAACGTGTTTGAACAAAAAAAAAAATGCACATTTGGATTCCCTGGTATATTATATTTATTGTATTATATTATAGGAGGACGTCTTCCAAGACAGCGCCGTAATATATCCCTGCGCCTTGTGGAGGAAGAGTCGTATCCAAGTGTATGTATCAATCGAGATCCAAAATCCGTCGCCGTGGCTCGAGATCCGAAAAGTGGAGAAACACGTCGCCACGGCTGTGAGGAGCACGATCTGCCGCGCCGTCCCTGGACACAAAGCCAAAGCCTCCCAGGCGTTTCGACAAGCGGAGACAAAGAACACCTGCCTCAAGTGAATACGTCTGCCAAGCAATTCAAGTGTCAAACATATTCAAAACTGGCATGTAGGGGCATGGTCATACTACGTACCGTCACCGAAGCAAGAAGCTTAGGGGTTGAAGAAGGGTTTAGGCTATCGCACACATTATCTCCAGGCTGGTGAGTGTTTTGGCGGACTGTTCTTCTGCAAAGCATCTGCCTTGCAAAGCGGTTGGCAACTGCATTATGATCATCATTGATCATCTAACATCTAGATGCCGTGAGGAGACCATATGTTTTGGCGCAAACATTGCTGCTCAGAACACACTATTTGGTCCACCGTCCGAAGCAAACTAGCCCTCCTCCCGCCTTTCCCGACAAAGAGCCGGCGAACGGTGCCGGTGGTCCATGCACCTGAAACAAGGGAGAGGTCCGCCCCCAAGTGGTCCACGCCCGACAGTCGCCGGGCCCATAAAGCCCGGTGAAACGAACATCACTGGGCTTTCTGGGCCCTGGAGGTCTTCTGCACATGGAGTTATCCTTCTTGCCTCTGGAGGTCAAAGCGCACAAGGAAACCAAACTGAAAACCCACATTATCGCTGAAAACCCTCGCCTTCCGCCTGTTGCATCTGTGATGGCGGTGGCGGCATAGCTTGCTTGTGACTTCCTGGACTCTGTTGACCGTTGAAATCTGTTGACTCTGTTCACTGTGAGCTGACATACAGTACTGAAGCGAAGCAAATATATAGAGATATACAGTAAAGAGTAAGTCGAGACAAAGAGATGTCGAAAGTCATGAGCTGCAATGCCGATGCAATGCCTCCATATCGGCGATGTCCACCGCCCTTGCCCGTCCTCAAGCTGAGATGATCAAGATAATCCATCGGTCTCATAGGTACAAAACTGTGGTGAAGCCAAAAATATGAAATCGCAACGACTTTAGCACTTGGGAATATCTGCTCACCCTGGGGAGTTTCGGAGAAACCTACCCACGTACAGTTTCCCAGCCATGAGATGCTATCAAAGGTCATAAGATTCTTACAATCCGAAAAAAAACATCTCTCGTCCCGGCAAGGAGTCCAATGTAGACAAGCCACACCGCGCCATGCCAGTTCACTTGCTGGCCCCACCACGGAGCCATCAGAAAGGAAAAAGAAAAAACAAATGAAACAACGTACGTTTTGCTCTTGAGCAAAAAACAGCTTGGGATATATAAATGGTCGTCATGGACATCCAAACGCCGTTTTCTGCGCACCAGTCGGCCGCGACAACACCACACAAAAGCACCCGTTGGCCGATCATGTTCACCACACCACAGCAGTCTGACCAGTCTTTTTGGTGCATTTGGAGGCGACCAGGGTCGTTGCACCCTGCGTGGACCGGGACCAGGGCCGTACCCGAATCCGAACTGGTCAGGGGTGACCTTCGAAGCCAATCCCGATCGGTTTGGTGTTCAGGACCGGTCGGCCGTTGTTGACCCCCGGAGTGACCCAGTCCCGGTGGATGATCATGAACACCTCCGGCCCAAGAAATCCACGAGCTGGAGCATGGAATTCCTCTGGGCTGGAGCATGATCACAATCCAAGTACGGGTTGCGCACGGTCAGTGAGACCAGTGCTCATCTGAAGGGGGATGTCAATGAAGATCACGAGCATATTCTTCTCCGCAGCGGGAAGAAATTGACACGTGCGAGGTTCATGTCATGTGAAACAAGTCGTCGGAGGGTTTTCTGGGTCGCAGCTTGTTGCAGCCAGGAAAGCACGCACGCAAACCATGCGCTGGAAGAGAGCGCTGCGTTTTTATCTATCAAATACAGTACATTCAAATACCATGTGTATCCATTTGTGAAGCCAACACACACCAGTAGGGTCCAGATTCTTTTCCTTCGGGATCCGTACATATCTAGATTGGTTCAACTGAGTAGCCCCTTGTCTCAGGCAAACAAACAACACAGCAAATAGGCACAAACAGATGGATCCAAACTGTGCGTCGCTCGAATTGTCTACGACTTGGGTTCAGGGCTCTCTCCTTTCTAACGCACAACAAAGTCGGAGGCCACAACTGAACATCTTTGGGGCCGGTTTCAGCACCTCCGAGGCTTTGGACTGGTAGACACGAAGGACTGGTAGACACTCTGCTGGAGCACACTCATGCCGGGGCCCACTGGTTTGAAACCCAAAAGGAAGTTGAACCTCACAAACCGCTCGGCCACCTGTTTGGTACTCGTCTGAACCGTACACGTTGGGTCTATCGAATCTTCAGATGGGCCTAGTGGATGAGGATGGTTCGGTTGCAGGCCTTTCGATCTTAAAAAGGGGTGAGTATGTTCTCTTTTACCTTCCTGTTACTGTGCCGGAAACCCAAACTCCCCAGTCCCAATGTGCCAACCACGTGTTACACACTGGAAATGTAACATGAAACCTGAAAACCACTGGGTTCTAGAGGAGAATCGTCTTCCACAGGTCCATTTTCAGGTTCCATGTTAATTTTCCCGGGTGTAAGTGTAAAGGATCTCAGGAAAACCATCTTGGTTTCCAACCATGAAGGGTTCTAGGTAGTTGCTGCTTCACTGAAGGACACACACTACGTGTGGGTTTTCCACCGGTTTTTCCGACCTCCACAGGACGTCGCACCTTCCGCATTCTGCCAAAGCCAAGCTCCATAGCCTGGCAGAGCGGGTTGAACATGCAGAAAAAAACCCGCCACTTTTGCGTGGCCCAGAAAGCCGGGCGAAGCGGCGAAGCCTCAAAAGAACCTTCCTAGTGGGAGATGACCCAATCGAGGCCATGATATTCCATGAGAAACGCATATATACCAGCATAAGACCCTTGAACTACGTTTCAGCAATATGTGTTGTGCGTCAATTCCTTGAACTCCAATGTTGGGCATTCGACTCTCGTGCGTACTTTGGACATGGTGGTGGTCTTTGGCGTGCTCTGATTTCGTGGCCGGTGCACTGTGATTCGTTTTTCAGAAGCCGGAGGAAGTCTCGAGAGAAGGCTGCGTTTTGGCAGCTTGATGTTGTCTTTGGACATGCTTGCTGCAAATCGCCTTGGCTGGGCTGTGCGATGTGAATCTTGATGTGCAGATTTCGTGGCAGGCGCACTACTTGGACGCAGCGCTTTGTGAACCTTGAAGGCACCCCACTTTGTGACCTTGAAGTGCAGATTTCAATGGCAGGCGCAGAATTTTGTGGACCTTGAAGTGTGGATTTCCTGGCAGGCGCAGCACTTTGTGAACCTAGAAGTGAAGATTTTGAGGCAGGCGCAGCACTGTGTCAACCTTGAAGTACCGATTTCGTGGAAGGTGCAGCAAATGTTCTCTCATACGTGTGCTCTCGTGCGTGCTCTTATATGTACTCCAATGTCTGCTCATGTGTGTGTGTGTGTGTGCATGTTCCCTCGCATGTGCTTTTACAAGTCCTTTCATATGTGTGTTCTCTAGGCTCCTGCACCGGATCTAGACATCTCTCTCTCCACCTGGTTTGTGAACCAGCATCACCGCAACCACCATCACCATCACCACTACCATGACCACCATCACGCCACCGCCGCTGCTGCCTCTGCCTCGAGATAGCGATGGCTGGGTGACTGGGCCCACTCACCTGCTAGACCTCGCCTGTCGGTGAAGAGGACAGGTGAAGCGCCTTCGACCAGCGGTCCTTATTCACAGACACACCGAGACAGAACAGAGACAAACAGAGCGAAGACCTTGCCTCTCGCTCCTCTTCACAGTTGAGACAGACAGACTGACAGACCGAGACAGACACACCGAGACAGACAGACTAAGACAGACAGAGCTGACGGGCCTTGATCTGGAATCCTCACCGGCTCCGAGAAGTTCTCCAGCTTGCCCCGATCACCAGTTGCACGCATGTCTCGCGCCAGACGATGTGATTTCCGGAGTTGCCCTCCTCGCCCTTCCAACCAGTCGTTGGCGCCTGCAGTGTCCAGAAACTGTTGTCCAGGTCAGTGTGATTCTATTTCATCACATTGCATGAGCGTGCTTTCGGTGTAACACTGGTCATTGCAGGGCGAATGCAAAACCCTTCCATCGTGATAGTGGTCTTTGCTTGGTTCTCCCCCTTGGCATCCTTTTCATCACCGTATTCTCATCAAGTTCTATTCTACCTACAGAAAACCATCAAGTTCATTCTATTCTACCGTGTTCTCATCAAAAGAAAACGCAACCCTTGGCAGCCAAACCCAGAAAATCCTCCCCAGGCCACCCCTGGCCCGACCTCCAAAGCGCGTCATGGCCAGAGCCGAGTCCTCCACCATTGGATAGTCCTCCGGTCCCGCGAACCAAGCGCCATGCCCAGCCCAGCGGACTTGAAGCAAAGAGTGCAACAAAAGAAAGGAAGGAAAGCGTGGATGAAACAGGTCAATTCAGCAGCATGCTTAGGGGTGGGAATCCTCGCAGTGGTTTCTGTTCACCTACTGCTTTCGCTCTACTGCTTTCGCTCTACTGCTTTCGCTCAAAAAGCTCCAGTACTCACAAAGAGCAACACAACAACCCCAAAAAACCGCCGCGCGCTCTTCCGACTCCCCCGGTGTTGTCGTCCTTCTCGGCTCGATGCCGAAACTCGGGGTGGTCTGTCCAAGGGCCGAAACTCGGTGTTTGGCGTCCGTGGGTTCCATCTTAGTTGGTGAAAAAGGACCTGACAGAGGTCCGGTACCCAACTGGATAGTCTATAGTACCCTAGGGTTCTTGTGTCTCTGTTGGAAAGTCGATTTGTTCCACCCAGGTTGAGGGGGGCAGTCATTTGGAGACAAATCCCATGTAGAATAAAGCGTTGGCTGAGCTCAATGATATATATAAGAGAAGCAACAACCAAAACGTCCCCACCACCACCACCAAACAAGATACCGATAAACTGTTTGGGCTTGACTCGTAATCTGCACGGACCAAAATAAAACCAAACACCAAAAATCTATCTCAATTCCCCAGCCAAACACTGTTATTCCCCTTTCATAGCCCACCCCCAAAACCCAACTCTCGTACTTCCAGACCAATCGCACTCCTCAACTGTCTCTCACCAGTCCTTACCGTAGTGCCGCTCGAAGTTTGGAAGCTTCAAGCGCTTGGCCAAAGCGTACAAGAACAAGGCCATGGAGGGCAGAAGCCGCGCCTTCCCAACGGATGCGCTCTTCTCGCCGCCGAATCGCGCGTCACGCGCCGAATCGCGCCATGCACACCGCAAGGAGAGCTCGACTCGTTCGAACCTTCAACCGACCGCACGGACGGCGGTGGACCGCGCCGGTTTTCCCTGAATTGAAGGTTCACACCGAACTGTCCATCGGTTTGGGACTTCAAGGTGTCCCCCCCGCATCCCCAATCCCAACACGGATCTGTTCAGAACCTCCACCGACGACCCGATCGACGGCGTGCGTGCGGTTTGCGACGTCCGCAAACCGAAAGCATGCGACGTCCAAACTGGCAGTCCAAAAAGGTGCATCCTTTTGGGAGATGCTGCCGAACTGGGCACAAGGGAAAGAGTCGAAGAAAAGAAACCAAACAAAAATGGTGCCCATCCTGTATACCACAACCTGCTGTATCAACCATGGCGAAAAAGCTTGAGAAGGTGTGAAGAAAGAGACCGTGGCCCGACCTAAGCTGATGAGATCTTGAAGAAGGGAAGGGGGCTTCTGACAAGGATTTCCCAAAGCCCCAGCCAAAAGCTCAACCAAGCTGTTCTTAATAGTTGTTACATGTGGTTGCATGGCTATATGAAGACCTTTATGGAGAGCTTCGGCTTCACTCCGTGGATGTTCCATCAAATTAAGGTAGTGATGGGCCGGATTCCCCCTCACCGGAACTCGATGGTACCATACCTGATAGTATCTGGTACCTTTCGAACCAGGTCAACCTAGATGGTACCACTTGGTGTTTTTGCGAATCTTGAAGTTCGATCATGTCGCCACTGCTGTTCCCGTCGAACAATGGACTACTCGAGTGCCCCAGCCAATGGCTGGTGCTGGTGGCCACGAGAGTGGCCACTGATGCACGTTGAGGCCACCAAGGCAGTCTTGGATGATTGAAGAAAAACAATCAAGTGAAACAGAATGTTTTACAAATGACCCATTGCCAAACACTGCTACATCATCTGCAATCCTCCAACGTGATGTACTCAGCACCATCAGGCCGTTATACACACGTCAGATTTGTTCTTTATCATGAACACCAACCAACGCATCGCCCACCCTGCTTTTTTGGAAGTACACACGACTTGGGTATATCCTACTACCAGGGCCCAGTGGATGGTTCAGTTGCGCTTGTTGACCGACGCTTACAGGTTTACTGGGACAGACCCCAACCCATCTCGATTTTCCGCTCGGAGCAGGTCCCATTCGGCCTGCAAGGTGTGCAACTTCCACTCCTCGTACCTCGCCAGCCACACGGCCAGGTAGGGCACGGCCCATCCCAACCCGCTTCGAAGATGGAGTTGGTTCGCGGTTCGCAGATTTGCCAGGTGCTTGCTCTGCTGATTTGGTGGAAGGAAATTTGGGTGTAAGATGGGTTGTTTTCAGGTTTTGCTGGATTCACTGTGATATGCTAGGATTCTGCTCTTTACATGTACTCAATGTTTGGCCAAGCAACTCCTGTAACTGATTATTTGTAGTAATCTTTCTTCCAGCCTTAAGTTGCGTGGTGGTGAATTGGTGGTGAATGATATATACACCGGGACACCGGGAGAACCTGTTCAACCCATCATGTTCCTGGAAGTGAGGAAATATGACATACTCATTCCCACAATTAACCTCGATTCCATGTCATCCATGGAGCGAGGGTAAATCCCGCACTGTTGAAAAGGAAGTGTTGCGAAAACTAGAAGCCCAAAACTGTAGACATTCTCTCCATAGAAGTGAAACTCTTGGAGTTCCGCATCAAAAAGTATCCCCCTCCAAGAAGCACCTCAAGTCTGCCCCGCAAAAACACACAGGTCTTTGGTTTCGTGCCTGCGCTGCCGAACGTGGAGTGCGGACAGGGCACCTCCCGACTCCCTTTGAGTGTTTCGATGGATTTCGAACGACTTGCCACGTGCCTTTCTTCAATGCTCCTTGGCTGCTTTGTCACGGAGTTTGGTCCACTAGCTAGTATTCAGGCGAAAAAAGATGCAGGGCGCTTCTAGCTGCACCAGCTGCTCGTTCGACCATGTGCATCGGTTCTTTTGCACCAGCTGCACCAGCTGAAATTCTACACCTCGTCTGGTCAATATGACTCACAATCCTGAAAGAAGGATCTGAATCTTTCCGGCCTAGTCAATCCAATAATTCGACCCCATTTCAATCCCCAGACCCAACCGACCCAGGACTTCGTCAAGCTGCAGCAGATGGAAACAAAGGAAGAGCTGTTCCAGGTGCTCCCTGCCAGTCGTGCCAGGTGGCAAGACATCATAGACCACGTGCAACCAAGTCATACCCACGTCATACCCAACCAGTACCGTCCTCCGAATCCCAGCTCGATGGAGGAGCGACCCGTTCCGGGAACGGGCTGAACGGGCAAGCCACGGTGTCCATCGCAGGTCCGAACGGCGGTTCGTCCGCAGAGGCGGTGGGTGGTGGACGTCAGACCCGTCAGACCCATCAGACCCGGAGCCCGGAAGAAATGGTTCTTGTTGTTGTGAAGTATATGTAGAGTCTAGGAAGTTGTCCAATAAATGGCTCACAAAGCCAGAAGATGCCTGGTTGACCCCGGGTCAAATGAACAGATTCCTCTATGTTCGGGAGGTCAACTGGTCTACTGCCGCGCTTGCGGACACGATGAAAAAAACGTCGCCGGCCCCTGACCGCCCCTTGGTCTAGGACCGGGTACAGAAGGGGGATACCATGGTTTGGTGGGGGAGGTTTTGACTCGCAATATGCCATGCAGCACTATCATTCAGCAGCCACCCACTGTCAAATGTGGCTTCATGGTGATCCTGCTTCACGAGGCTGGAGAACTAACCATCCTCCAATGTCGAAGAAAATCTGTCAGATCATCTACAAACACCCAGGCATCTCACCGAGATCGTCCGACCACTCGAGACCACAAGAGACCGGGTTTTTCTGGTGAATAGACTTCTCTTCAAAGCAGTCAGCTACACTGCCGGTCACTGAAACCTGGAAGAATAGCTGCTCTACCCGAACTTGGTTTTTCTACCCCTCTAATCGAATCCTACAAAAACCCCATTGAACTTTGGGGTATCCGACATCGGCGATGTCCTTTTTATGGGGGAAAGAATAGAGGGGTTCGGTGCCAAACACATCTTGGCCGCACTTGGTACTAGTACACGAGGTATCGGTATCCCCTCCGTTCAATCAACCAACCGGACATGTTCAAGGCCATCGATGCCTGCAAGCTTTTCCCTTCGGAGTGAACATGGTCCTCCGAACGTGCGATTTCGGGGCCATACATCCACTGCCAGGCCCATGGTCCCTTTAAGACAGAACGGCATGGTCCCATGCCCCATGCATCCACGTTCTTGAGTGTAATAACTTCAAGACAGATAGGCTGTTCACCGGTTCTCTCATCATCTCCCCCAAGTGAAGGCGTGATAGACCAACCACGTGCGGCAGAATGACTTCAAGTCGTAACTGCCTGGCGCTGCTCCTCACACATCGTGTGAAAAAAAGGCGACGAATCGCCGGGATTCATTTGGCTCATCCCATTCACACTTCAGTCATGTAATCTGAAACAAGCAGACGACCTACACCCATAACAAGGACCTAATCTTCTGGGGTTTTAAGTTGGAGGCTTATATAGATTGTGATCCATCAGAATCTCAACCAAAAGAAAGACTTGGTCACTGACGACCACCGGTGGTGTTGGTCACTTGTTTTCGTAACCCGCGCCCTCCAACCGCCTCGCTTCCACCGGCGCGAACCGACGCTGGGCCTCACTAGCGGCGCCGTGCGCAGCTCTCGCTGCCAAAGCTCCGAGCTCCTTGGAGCGGCGCGGGGGGACAGACCCTCAGCAGGTGGAAAACTGGATCAGCGTCCATTGCTTTGGACCTTTAGTATACATGAACGAAGTTGAGATGCTGGTTTTCACCAGATGGATATGATTCTGATCGTCGTTCGGATGTGTCGACCCCTCTTTGTCACTCAGTTTCACTCAGATTTGGTGCTGGCTTCCTCACTTCACCCTCGCTTCCTCACTTCACATGCTGCCCAGAGGTTACCACTCCGCGTGAAAGAAGCAAGAAGCCCCAAGCTTGCCCTCCGCGCTTTGTTCCCGAATGCTTCTGCCGTCGCGGGGGTTTCTGCGCCGATCCGATCCACGGCGTTGCCCAAACCCTCGAGGGTCGGCGGAACCATCGAGCGAAGAACCAAAAGAACGATGAAAACATACGGAAAAGGTGTCAAAAACGAAGAAGTCGCCGAACGTCATGGCTCTCCCGAGTGTCTCACCGCAAAAATGGAACATGCCATGAAGGAAAAAATACGTGTGAGAACTCGTGGAGCTTTGGGAAGCCTTTTGGAGTTCAACTGTGAAAAGAACATGTTCCACCCAGACGCGAAGTCTGGACCCTGCGTGGACCGGGACCGGGGCCGTACCTGAATCCGAACTGGTCAGGGGTCCGGACCCTCACACCAATCCCGATCGGTTTTGAGAGACCAATCGGCCATCGTTCACGTCTGGGCATTTGATGTTGGGACCACGGTTTTTCAACCCACTATGGCAATCCATTCCATCACAAAAAGGGTTTGGGCTTGGTTTCGGGACTGGGTGTGTGAGAAACGTCTCAGTCCTTCGGTCGAGGGAGTGGGATCACCACCCCGGGTCTCTGGGTCTCCCGTGCGTGGCTTCCAGCTCCGATCGCGGACTCCTGCGTCGGTTCAGGCCAACCACCAGGAACCACTCATGCCAGAAGTCACAAGACGGGGTGGTTTTTGGTCCCCAAGTGAGTGGATTATGGACACCCCTATCCTCCAAGTTCGGCACCCTATCCTCCAAGTGACTCCTGCCGTCGTGCTTTTTCCGTGGAACAAAGGCAGGGATGGTGGCATGGTCAAGTGATTCCGCCTCCAGAAAAAGTGGCACAGTTACCCCTCGGTCACTGAGTCGTCCCTGTGGCCGGTGGCTCATCTCCCACGCCGTCGACCCAGCGTCACATCAGGCATCGCAGCACGCGTCGCAGCACGCGTCTCCTCAGCTCCGGGTGGGGCTTGAAGTCCTGGCGATGAGGATTGTCCAAAGGATTGGTCTGAGTCCGATGGATGGCCATGTTCACGATGAGGATCTGGGGTCACTCAAGGTCATGGCAATCTGAGTGGCAAGATAGTCACCCGTTAAAGCAACTTTGGGACTATCATACAGAAGGGCAAAGGGCGATTGGCAGGTATATACCATCTTCTCGCTAAAGGCGTCGATGCTGTTGACCAGTCTCCCGGCGCCTGAAAAAACCGAACCACTGCCAAGCACTGCCATGGTCTCTTGGTGTGCGACCGGGTGTGTATATCCAAATTGTACTGTTTGAGTATTGAAGAGTTGCACAACAAGCTGTACACTGGCATGGTGCCTTTGTATTGAAGAGCCTTCGTTCATCCAACGTCTGGGTCAGTGACAACGTGACCTCTGCCTCCCGGAGAGGGGGTTTCTTCGGAAATCCTCTGCCAAGAGTGGATACTAAATAACCCACTGGAGACAACGGAAACGGTAGATGTCGCTGGAAACTGAATACCACAGTCATGCTGAAACGGTGGATACTGGTGCTTCTCTACTGTTGCTGGAAAGAGGACGACGCTCTTTTTCCAAATCATCCAATGAAACGCCTTCGCCACCTGAGATGGTTTTCTCGACCTAGTAACTGCTTCGTGTTTCGAAGAATTGGAGATGCAGAGGTCGCGGCCCTTCATGATCTTCATGTCTAAAGATAGGAAAGAGCTTTGTCCGCTTCTTTGTACCTCTATAGAGTCGACCCTCTACCCGGTGCTCTACGTCGAAAAAGAGTCTGCTCATCCATTCAAAATGGAGAGACCATAGTGACATCCACACGAAATTCGTCTCCCTACCTATGGATTTGTTGGGATCTAAGGTCGTCTTCCAATCTTCCACGGGATCCGTGTTCAGTCTGACTCCATCGGCCGCCCCGAACCCCCCGGCCAGGCACGGGATCCGAACCGCTTCCACCGCCCCAACCGAAGGAACACCCCAGTGGAAGACACAACCGAAGCACACTCCTATGAGTCAAATGCACGTAGACTCTGCAATTAATCAATGAAGCCTCCCAGAGATGGAGTTGTAAAACCTCTGGAGGCTTAGAGGGGTGAAATAGACGACTGGTTGGTGGGTGTTTTCAGCCCACTTGACATATGAGTCAGAGGGGGTCCCATCATCTCCAAGTAAGGGTTGAAAATAGACATATCATGACATATCCAAAACCATCACCTGGAAGAAATAGAACTCCCCCTCCCCTCCCATGGTGACGTGGATGTGCTGGCCCCCTACTTGGAAGACGTTCCGAAAAACCAAGAGGGGGTGAACTCCACTTCCAGCAACAGAGGTTCTTCAGAACCCTTTTTGAAGTCTCCGATTGATACTCCAGTATGGTCGTAGTTCAGGTCACTGAACCTCTCCACCTCCATGATTGACCTATATTATAGGACCATACTGGAGTACCTACTGGAGGAGGGTTGGTACTCCAGTAACCTCTCCTGGGGTGAGAACTCGCTCGATCTTCGCCTTTTCAGCGAGATCCTCTTCCGCTTGACCTCCGGACACTCCCGTGACACTTCCGTCCGTAGGGGGACCAACACCCCATCGGCACCTGCGAGTCGCTGAGCCCCGGAAAGCGGTGCCGCTGAAGCGCATGCACATCGCCTCAGGTCACATCCGGCGAAGATATAGGCTACGCATCTGGGGCCATAGACCCTCAGGTTCGGTGGGGACTGACCTCCCCAAAAAATAGCACCCTGACCAGCACCCCAAGCACTGGAAGGGAGACCGCCCCAAAAGCCCCCCTATCGCCCCTGGCAGGGTGAGCTACACGCCCCCGTCCAAATCGTCCACTCGGTGCTCACGGCATCGTGCGCGGTGCACGGCGGTGCACTCGGTGTTCCTGCTTTAAACGAAGCCAAAGGAACATACGAAGACCAAACCCAAATCCGGTCGCAAACAAAAGCTTTAGATGTCATTATAAAGCACATGAAGTTGTTCCTGGTCCCAAGCAGGTGAGTTTTCTCTCCGGATCTCAAACAGACCAGTCCACCTGGTTTTCATCCTGGTGGACGGACGGTCACGGACCTTCCGGATTCGCGACCCAGCACTGGTACCAGGCATCGGCATAGGGGTACCAGAAACCGGCCACATGGGTAGGAAGAGAGGGGCCGGATGGGGTCAAAAGCACATGGAAGGTCGACCATCCTTGCGGTGGAATCTGTTGGGACCCGGGGTCAACCTTACGGTGTCCCCGGTGCCATGTGGGCCACTCCCCATCCAACGTGGATGGGTGGGGTTCATCTGTAGACTAGATAGGAATCCGGAATAGCACGAAAGCTGGATCGATCCTAATACCAGGAAACTGTGGATGATGATGATGATGATGATGATGATGATGATGATGATGATGATGATGATGATGGTTAGGTTGCAGGCCTTATTCAAAAATAGTGATAACTGTTTGCTGACTGTTACGGGAGACCGACGGACGACGGACCGACCCAACATGTAAGTGTCATGCGAAAACAACAAATGCATAGAATGTGAAGAAGGACGAACCTTGCTTCAATGCACTTGGACCATGGTCATGTTTCTTGACACTGGTCACTTTCTATCTGCTTGTTAGAATGGCTGTTGATCATGCAAAACAAAAGGTTTGCGTGGCTGAAACATGAATTCAAATATAATTCGATACATTCGAACCCAATTGATCAACCATGGACGTCCTTGCTTGGGGATGTCCTTCCGCTGTGAAGCACTTGCCGCAATAAATCCTGTCGTAAGTTGGACGGAAGAAAGTGAGACGGTCCAAGTTCGTCGCGGTCCACACACGCTTTGTTTGCACACATGCGGCTCAAGGAGGCTCGGTGCTAGCTCTCCTTTAGGCCCGGAGGTAAGGTGGGTGCTTCTCATGTTCGTTTCACCGGTTGACCTCAAAGTTGGACTTCAATACAGGTCATGCAGACTCTTAATGAATACATCCCGTCCCATTTGGATTGTAAAACCTCTTCAGGCCTGGGGGGTTGTAGTTATATAATCAAGAGTCTAAATGTATTGGATGCAGCCAAGCACGTCAGAATGAAACGTTTCCTTCGTTGCGTAGCATGTAGTGGGTGGGTTCCTGGTTGATCCACTCCTACCGTTGATTGAAAACATCCAGCCACCTGGAACCACCAAAACACTGTAAATTGCACACGAAGAACGTAATCAGAAAAACCGTTGGTGGCGCTACTGAAATTTCATGACATGTTCTATAAAATATATACAGCCTATCCAACTAGCAAAAGAACTTGAACTGGTGAAATACACCACTTGTACCCGGATCTGTGTGAAGAAAATACTGGGAACCACCGATTGAAACCCTTTCTGTCCGGCGCTGTGACCCGACGTCCTTCGGATGCTGTTCTAAGGATTGGACTTCCCAAAAGCCAGTCCCAATCAGAATCCATGTCCTGGGCACTGGAAAACGCATGCTGGCCGAAGCTTAAGTAAAGCAAAAAGGACATCTCAATTATGCCAGCATGGGCCCCAAACAGTTCTGGCAGTATTTGTGTGGCGTCAACTCCTTAAGATCTATTGTGGGCGGTATCGTCCGCGCAGTGATATTCCTTGTCGCCTCTAGTGTGCTTCGGAACAGCGTGTAAACACAGTTCCTGATTCCCGGGTCACATTGAAGCGCTGCATCACTATTGCATTGATAACCACACGAAAACTGGAACAAAGCCCCAACAGTAAACTGCTTGGAGAACAAGAGGAGGGCCAGCAGGAGGTCAGGAGGACAGCAGGAGGACAGCAGGAGGTCAGGAGGTTTGTTTGTTTTTGTTTCACTCACGGTATCAGTCGACGCTTGTGGGGCATCGCGAGTTCTCTTCGCGGCCTTTTGGTGAGCCCGCGCTCCATCACACGGAGCTTGCACACAAAAAGCTGACTACTGTGGCCAGCGTTCATCAAGCATGGACAATAACTCAGCTAGACGCGGGGAATCCTCTGGGTCCTCGGCTGGGTGCACCGGCTCAAAGGGTCGCACGCCCCGCCGCCGCAGCTCCTGCCCAAAGGCCGCTGCACTCTCGCCCATGGCCTCGTACAGCCCAGGATCAGTTGCTGCCAGTTGAGCCTCCGCCAACGCAACCTCGGTTGAGGTCTTGCCGATTGATGTCTCGGCACTGGAGCTGGTTCCAGAAGAAGGCCACGAGGAGGCATTGAGCCAGCAGGCCGTAGCCTGGTTCACCAAAGGCCAGCTCATCACCGTTGCCAGGCCTTGATCTAGAAAGATCGGCCATTGCGGCCCCCCTGATTCTTGAGCAGCTGCGTCGCCAGTTTTGGGTGGGTCTCACCATGTGCTGCCGCAGCCGTGCTTCCACCAACATCCAGACCGAGCTGTGGCTCAGCCAGGCCAAGCTGTCGTACAGCGTGTGACTTAAATCGGAATGACCGTCCGCTTGGAGGTGGTCGAGCTGGGCGCTTGGAGGAATCCTATTTCCTGAAGAATTAAAATATTACCTTGAGAATCTAGTCCCAGCTGCAGCGGTAAGACTATTCACCTATAGATTTCTCAACTCCTCCCCCGTAATAGGGGTCTTGGAGGGCATGATCTGCAACTTCTTCTGCATCGGATCCCATTGGAGAAAGGGCTAAGTCCCCTCCACGCACTGCTGCACTGCTTTCTCCCAGATCGGATCCTTGCTGCCTTTCGTCTGCAGCTTGGTGAAGCGTTCGAGGGTCTCCTGCGTCACCGTTTGGCCCAGGATCACCTGCAGCGGCTGTGTCTGGGGTCCTTTCTGCTGTTGGTCCTTCCACTGCTGTGTTTTGCTCAGGATGGTCGGCGTGAGGGAGTTTGGGCCGGCGGGCAAAAAGAGCAGAAATTGGTCGGTGCTGGCCAGCGCCTGCAACTGTGACTCGTGCCTCAGTGTGAGGGACAGCAGTTGGCCCACCGTCTGCTGCAGAGCCTCGATCTGCCTGCTCCACTTCCCTGTTTTCGCCTTTTCCTTTGCTGATGGCCTGGCCATTTTTCTGCTGGTCTGACTCCGGCTTGGGGCGCTCGCTTCAGGGGCGGCTGGGCCAGCAGACCCCCCCACCGCATCCTTGACCTGGTCCATCCAGTCCGAAGAGGTGCCTCCACGACCTTCGAAGGTGTGAGTTCCCTCATGTGGCCGCACTGTGGCCAGAGCGTGTTTGCGGTGCAATTCACAAAGCTCCCAAGCATCCTGCGGTTCCGGTGAGTGTGGTTGAAGCTCTGTATTAAAATCCCCAGCTACAACAGCAACATTCCGAATGGGTAGACGCAGTGCAGTGCCGAGGTGGGTCCAGATGGTGGCCCGACTAGCATAGGGATCAGCTCTAGTGGACGTCGGTTGTGTATTGATACACCTGGAGTATGTCGAGGCTCACCTTAGCCAACCTGCATTGCACGTGTTGGATGTGCCCTGGAACGGGGGATGTGCTCGAAATGTCCTGGCTCGAGCATAGCCTGTGGCTGAGCAGCATGAGGAGACCTCCATGGTCTCCAACTCCCGCGGACAAGGCCCAGTAGCCATGCGTGCTCCATTGTTTCTGTAGTGACCACTGGGTGCTCTGAATGCATACTATGTCTATGTTGTTTCCGGTCACATAAAGCATCATTTCCTGCCAGGTGGCATCAGTCAAGCCGCCCGCATTCCAAGATTGGTCGATCCTCCAGCTTGTGGTGAGATCTTGCACTCCGGGTTGAGAGCAGCACCAGTTGTCGGCGGTGAAGAAGATGTGCATCAGCATTCTGCCCTTATACGTGGTGCATCCCGTGGTGGCCAGGCGTCGCAATGCTTGCCAGAAACTCCTTTTCGTGCTCCGATTTGAGCAGGGCTCTTTTGCCCTAACCCACGAACTTTTCGGAGGAAACTCAAGTGATTCGGGGGAAACCGAGCTCCTCTCTGGTACAGGAGGAACCCTCACCTCTCATGAGCCTGGAACCAAAATATGCACTTCCAAGGCACAGTAGCTCACGTCCCGACTTGGGACCGGAGAGCTCGAGCAAACTCCGCCAGGTGGCCGGCCCCAGAGGCTTCTGATCTGGAACATACCTGTAGGTGGGATTACTCCACCAGTGGGCCCAGCTGGAGGTTTGGCTGCAACACCAGCAAGTAACTCATCACACACAAAAACTACTCTGAGATTGTCTTCCATGTTGACGTGCAACATGAATGGAAACACCGGATTTCGCATAGTATTTTCCAGCTGGAATCTCAACCTGGTGAGCCACAACACTGTGTATCCATATTGATTGACTTCAGACTGAGTGCAGTGTATGAGGACGGTAGTTCCACTCAAACACCCATGGGCTGCATCCTCGTAGGCGTTTGATCTTTGCCATCAAGCATAGACCTGGAAATTCTGGCGGTAATAGTTACTTTGGAAATCAAACCGTTGGTTGACTGCGGCCATATTGGGGCACCTCACAGCCACATATCTGCATGCCAACACATTGCTGAAAATCATAGCGCATTGATCGAAAAGATCCGTCCTTTGAAGGCACCGATATATAGGTCTCCACGGTCAACCTCTCTTGGAAGTCCTATACAAGGTACCTAACGGAAAGTGATCGGAATCACTCATGCGAGAGATCTAGGGATTTGACCTCTGACTGGCAGGAGTTTGGTGGGAAGGGGTGTCTACCCAGCCCAGAACCCAAACACAGGTTTGGAAAAGAATGGAGCAGCGGCGATGTTGCCTGAATTATGCCTGAAAACACCAAGACCTACGAAACGCCACGCGACAGTGATTCCTTGGGCGAGTGATCAGTCCGGGTCTGCGACTCAACAAGTGACGTAGTGACTCAGCACCGTAGGCTTCAAAGAGAGTATCACATTCTCAAATGGCTTCAGTTTGACCATCAAACGAATCATTGATCTGGTTTGTCGTCTGAAATCCATAAAACAATTGGGTCAATTTTGTAAAGACCATGATAAACAATGGTTGTTGGACTCCCAGTCAACATACCAAGAGTTACCGTGTGGGGCTGTCCATTTTGGCCGCAACGAAGCAGCTGGTATCAATTCAACATTCTTGGAGGTGATCGATAGAAAAGCTCTCAGAAGCTCGATGAGATCACCAGATTCAATTCTTTTGCTCAGCGGTGAAAAGCCAGAGCCAATTGTATGGAATATTCATACCCTTACCTTTTCAGGTCATGATTGGACCCTCCAAACCGACACAACAGAGTCTCCAATCACCGTACCTGAGAAGGCACAGCGATCCCTACTAGTAGATACAAGGGATTAGTTGACACATGGCTCCAAGTCACTGATGCTTGGCGTCCTCATCCTCCACACCTCACCAACAGGCGCAGGCATCCACATGGACCCCAGCCCTGAAAACAACACAGGGCCTGGTTTGGTGGGGTGGCTCCTTGAAATGCTGGGAGACCGTGCCAATTCTGAAGCGTCTTCTGCGTTTCAAGAACTACGTCCAGCCCCTGAAACGTAAAACACGAACACGCACGAATCGACCACCCGCCATCATGGACAGGGCGCCGTTTTTGTCGGTCGCGAGCGCAGGAGGCGAACGGAGGTGCAGGTTTAGCGGTCCGAACAAGTTCCCTACCCAGGACAGGATTTTCTGTGGATAGTGCAACCGGCAACATTGTGCAACCTTTTTGTGGGAGGTTCTTCTCCGCGAAAATCGAAGAGGTGGAAACTTGAGTGACTTAATCTTCATGCCATTGGAAATCCTGCAGGAAAAATCAGGAAGCGTGTTTTGATGATTCTTCTCCGAAAACACTCGAGACATCTTAGTACTTGCTGGCACGCGGCATGTTCGGAGCGAACCTCCCGGGACACTCTTGGCGCGTCTCGGCGTCACCTTGCAGAGGAAGAAACACGACCGGTTAACGCGACCGAATCACTGGTTGATTTTGAAAGGTGGGGGCGTCGCTAGTGGGGCGATTTGTTCGGCGTCCGGGGGGAGTGGGAGCGGATTTGGTGGTTGTTATCTTTCTCAAACAGAAATTGAAATGGTTCGCGCGACGCCTTCTGGATGTTCAGTGCAAAGATCGGTGTCGGCAGTCCTCTACCAAAGCCAGCGTTTTTCTTTCGAGGGCTTGAGTGATCTCAAACGGAGAACTCAGTCTGGGGCGCTTGGAAGAATCACAAAATGCGGGTCAGTTGCATAACACCCCACCGGCTGTGAACTCAACAAATCTTCAAGAGAGACACAACTTGATCGTTGTGCTTCAGCATCTATTGACCAAGAAATTGATTCCATCTCATTTGTTTGATGCGGTGATCTAGGCACGTTCATGCCTGGCATATTGCGCTTTTGCGCACCTGCTTTTTGAACAGGTGGTTTCTGAGATGGAGGCTGTCTTTTCACACTGTCTTTCCTTTCGGTGGCACATCATCTTCGCGAGGTTGAGGGGCCTCAGGCTCTTGTTGAACAGCACCAGGCTTCTCATCACTTGCGCAGGCGGTTGGTCGCCTACCCCATCAATATCATCCACTGATATTCAAAATAACGATATCAATTTAACATGTTGTGTCACTATGATACAACAACACAGAGACCTTTCAAACTGTATATAATCGTTATAGCATGCTTCATCATTTGCACGCACGATCACTTTTTTGATCCAACAGATCATGGCATACAATACTCATTCATTTGTAAAGATCCAATGAATAAATGAAGTACATTCAAGTGACGTGACATTCAGCTCGCGGCACAAGCCACGCACTTTTTTTTACCTGAACAACGGTTTGAAATCAAGGTCTTTACCCGAGTTCCACGGGTACCCCAATCTAGTATTTACCAAATTGGGTTGGGAAACAATGCCCACCCGGCACAAATACATGGGATCTGGTCGAAATGTCTTCTTCCAAAAATGGCTGAAAGTCGTGTTCACATGGGGGCCCGCTACATATTCTTTACTTTTGGCACGCACAGCTGGTTAATGCAGGAAACGTGGACCAAACAATTGTCGGCGCCAAATTGTAAGAGGCGTCACTAGCGCTGCACCATTTTCAGCTGATTTCCTAGCTTAGCTTCAAGCCATGCTTGAAACAAAAGACATGTTGCAAGTCAGCCTTGGAAGGGTCCACGCTGGAATCTGGCAATGTTTGCTAGAGCGGATCTAGCGCAGTGCTAGCGGGCGGCTAGCGCATTTTTCAGCCAACCACTTTTCAAAAACCTGACAACGTTCTGAACATGTCCTAAGGCAAACGCTAGCGTCACTAGCGCAAGTCTACCGCAAGCCTAGCGCCGAGCTGCAGAATAGGTGTGTTTAGCTGGGGGCCCGCTACATAAAATCTAATTGAAAAACCAACATCATAAGCTACTTTCGACCCCTTTATCTACTTTTTTTGATTATAGACTTTTGGTCGGACTCCACATATGCCGTGGTGGTGGGACATTGTTTCCCGGAGGTCAGGAGGAGGACACAGCACGAGGGCGGAGGGGGACACGTCGCAAACCCTCTGTCCTCCTCTTGTCCTGGTGTCTTCTGCTGTCGCGAGCCCTGTGTCTTTCTCTTGTCCTTCTGGTGTTCGTCCTGCTGTCCTCTGGCCGCAGGAGGGCAAAAGGGAGAGCAAGCCAAAGAGAAAGCCAAAGAGAAAACGGCAACGCAGCGGGGCCCCAAGGACCACTTGGAGCTTTATGCCCAGCGGACCCAAAGGCTTGTCACAAGGACCCCAGGCACAGGAATGTGGGATACGACAAACAGTCCAAAGGGTTTGCCGGCGCTGGCTTGATGAACCCTGTGTCCTTCTCTCGTTCTCCTGCTGTCCTCGTGCCACGCTTGCGAACTCTGTGTCCTCCTCTTGTCCTTGTGATGTCCGTCCTGCTCTCCTCTAGCCGCGTGTTTCTTGCTTCCAAACAATGGTTATCCTGAGCAACATCAAGCCAAATGGAACTAAGAATCGATTCAAGGAAACAATAAAGAGCCCCGTCAAAATACACTTAACCTATGTCCATCACTGTGTTGAGCGCTGTGAAGGCCACCCTTGTGTTCAAGCTGAATCTTCGGTCAGTCTGGCCAACGGCGGTTTTCCAAATCGAGCTGTTGATGGCTGGCTTCGTTCAGCAGGAGGACCAGAGAAGGACACAAGGTTCGCAAGCGTGGCACGAGGACAGCATTAGGAAATCAGGATAACAGGAGAAGGACACAGGGTTTGCAGGCGTGGCTACGTATATAGAGGACAGCAGGACAAAAGCAGGCAACTGGAGGAGAAGACAACAGGAGGACAATACCCGGACGTAGAAACTGTGGCCAGTATCTTTTTCCATTTCGAACGAACTGTTTGGTGACAAAATGCTCAGAAACGCCCCCGTCACGACGGATGGATGGGGATGGAGATGGGGGATGGAGATGGGGGATGGAGACCAAGCATCCCCAAGTCGGAAAGATCGACCCTCGACAGATACAGCTCCCCATCCCAGTTGGTGGCTCTGCCGGATGTGCCCTCTCTGCCAGCTGGATGTCCGGTGAAGAGAGCTGTTGCCGAACGTGGGCGTTTTCGCCCTTCGTGGCAGAAGAGATGGTTTGGGCTGCCCCGCAAGTCCCCACGCCCGAAGGACTCCCACCAGTCGCACTATCTGTACAGTCCAGGTGAAAAGACAAGGTGGACAACCAGTTGGTCATGAAAAAGTATGTTTCGCTGCACGAACAAACACCACCGGCGCCACATGTGCGTTTTCGATCGGAGCTAAACCTCCGTCCGACCCGATGTCTTTCCCGCAACCACAACCTCCGCCCTCTCGCGCCGCGCCGGTCACGGTCACGGCACCGTGCCTGGTCGCACTGCGTCTTGCGTAGGCGCTTGTAAGGCCTGAGAGGCGGCGGCGAGGGAGCGTTCTGCGCCGCCTTCGAGTTGCTGTTGCTACGCGTCGCGAGGGGCGTGGGGAGTGAGGGGACGAGGACATGAAGCGAATCAGACAGACCCAATAGGAGTTGCTGTCAGGCTTGAAGGGTCTTTAAATCCTTACTGATAAATGACTAAGAATAAATACTTTGGTACAGTACCTTACATGTTCATACATGTATACCTTGGATGATTGCTTCTAGCTGCTAGGTCCAACACCTGGGAATGGAGAAAATCATTTGGAAGCTGGAAAGAAGATCCTGCCAAAAAGTATTGGGTCTCTCAGAGTTGACCAACCACTATCTTGTCCCAAATACTATGAGAGTTGGTCAACAGTGACAGATAGTCCCACCTCATGGGGTGTTCACCTAACTTTCAGATCTATACTCCCCGTGGCATGGCCCCTACCTAGGTCCGATGACTCGGATGTCCAGGGCCATGCCATCCTGACCGACAAGCTTGGACGGGTGAACTACACACGAGGACGACGTCACCATGACGACGTCACCATGACGACGTCCAAAGGTTCAGAACGAACCCGACTGTTGGACTATTCCGACTATTCCCCTACTTTTTTTAAAGGTACCCCAGGTCTTTCGGCTCCTTCTTCAGGTCACAACAAACCCCTCTCTTGGAGAAACTCCTTTCTGCTCGTCGCTCGCGACACCAGTGCGGCCACCGCACGGCGACATGCTGGGCACACCATCGGAGAGCGCCTCACGACCGGGACGACCGGTCCAGCGTGGACATTTGGATCGAAAGATCCGACGCTTCGCCCCGCAAAGCCCTTCCACATATGTGGAAATAAGAACCGAAACCATTCGTTGGTGCGCGTGGAACCTCACAAAGCTGCTGTCTGGCTTTGGCTGTAGATCAGCAAGGCTCAGAAACCTATGTGTTTACCCCCTCTAGTATGTCCAAAGTCGCCTCACACCACACCACACTGTGACTTTTTCATGTCTGCTCAGCCACTTTGTTGCGTGCGTGGGTGTGTCGTTCCAAAACCAGATCTCATAGAGTTCACCCCTCAACACACAGAATAAATATAAACCTTTTCAACGGACACATCGCAACTATCTTGGCAGCCTGCAGTCACTGACCGCTGCAGTCAAACCAAAATGGCAAAACCGTGCTCCCTCCCAAAAAAAGTTTGGAAACGTGAACAGCGAAAACGATCTTTGGAATTGGAATGGTGAAACCACCTCGAAACGGCGAGCGAAAACGATCATTCATTTTATAAACGGTAAGAAAGAGGAACGGCGCCTGTTCCAAGAGGCAAAAGAAAAGCTCACAGAAGCGCCACCACTCCTCGCCACGGTCGAACGCGACGATCAACGGCCAGGTGGGTGCGGTTTAAGGCACAGACTGACGAGAAGCAAGCGACCCCCTGATTTTATGAAGAGTAATTATAGATTTATATGCTTTGATGAAAAACCCGGGTTCAAATGAAACCTTCATCCTGGAACCTAACCCCTAAACCCCCACGCTTGGTCGTGCTGCTTGATTTCGGGGGGCCACACCACGCTGGTTCATGCACTCCACGTCCCAAACAGAACGGTTCCTCACACCGATGAGTCGGACGTCCGGGTTCGCACCGGTGGAGTGGGGCAACCGGGCGAAAGCCCCCCAACAGGAACAGCGTGGAGTGGTTCAGTGGAGAACTCCACCTGTTCCTGTTCCTGTAACTCTTGTTGTTGTTGTTGTTCTTCTTCTTCTTCTTCAGTCATGGTCCACTTTTTCCTGGGTAGGACGTTGAACCACTGAAGCCATCTGATCTGGACCGCAGCATGGGACACGTGTCAAAACCGTGCTTTAAAACAAAAACAACAAAAACAACGGCTGTTAGATGGTACAACTGTTGTTTTAGATGTTTCAAATGGAAATCCGTTGCTGGAAATCGGCTGTATCCGATGGTGCACGATTTCAAATTTCTCATAGATGTCCAGTTGCATCCGACCAAGGAATTTCGCGAACTCAGGCACCTTTTTCGGGCGGGTCCGATGGACGCACGTTCAAATCCCCTGGCTTCGATGTGCGTTGATGGTGTGAACTGTTCGTCATGTCCTTGAAATGTTTGGGGCACATCTTCAGATATTCATGCATCTGGAGCAAGAGCAGACTGAACTTATCTGCCAGCTTTGAGCTGCATCTGCCGCGACAGTCTTCTATGAGCTCACTCAGAATGCTCAGCGCTTCCCGGAACAGGCATGGCTAGCACATTGGGCTGGGAAGCATGGCTCTGCACCAGCAATCCAGTGGAGATGAGCCGTCCTCTAGGCACACAGTCACCAGCGAAATGGCTGATTGATCACTGTTGATGTTGCCAAAAGGTTGGACAGTACTTGAACATTGTCGCCCCCTTTTGCAGTCGACAAGGTCCATGCCCTCAGTCATCGTTCTTTCGAAAATCAGGCCGTTTGGGCAAGGCTGTCATTTCTGCGACGCATCCAAATCAGTTGTCCTCTGCATCAGCCCCCCGTGAATCTGACTGACTAAAAAGAACCACTTCGGCTCACCGACGAGTTTTCAGGTATGTCCACCTACCCTCCATCTGCTCGGCATGACCATGCCCCGAAGGCCCCACATCCCCATGCCCCGGCATGACCTGCTCGTCTCCCTCGTCTGCTCTCCGGTCCGCGAGTCTCCTCGTCATCCTCATCCTCCGGGGAACGCCGCCCAGCACCATCCGCGACGCACCACACCTCGCAGAGAGCGCAGCCCAGCGGCTCCCGGTCTCCGGTCGGGAGACCCGAGACACGACCGGGCATCGAAGACGGTGCCCTCGCAAGCCATGGGAAAGATGGAGATCAAACATCTGCACCATGGTGGGCCAAGGGAAATCGCTCCCGAATGTCCCCCAGTCTTCCAAAGATAGAAAACAAACATCCTGGAACACACAGGGGGCTGTGAGTTTTTCAGACATCATGTTGACAAAAATAATCCCACGTCTCCATCTTGGTTCTACATCTCCGGTCCTGCTTGGGTATATTTTGGTGGTATATCCTAATTGATCTTCCGGGGCCCAGTGGATGATGATGGTTATATAGGTTGCAGGCCTTTCCATCCATCTCAAAGAACCGTGGTAGCTCTTTACCGACTCTTTCTGGTCTACTGGACCACACAGTTCTACCCTCATCCCTCGCTCCCGTGCTCCGAACCGTCCAGAGGTGTCACCCGAGTAGGGCTCCGAAGGCCCCATCTCCTCAGGTTCGGTGGTTCGACCCCCCCTGGCACCCACCCACCCCCAAGCACCGAAGCCTGGGGATGTGGGGCCTTCGGAGCCCTATGGCCCTTTTTTTCCAGGACCCTCCAACAGGTCACCACCTGGCCTCCTATACCGACCTGTAGAGTCGGGTGCTGGTATACGGTTAGTGTCAGTGTTGTTTCATCCGAGCTTTACGTCACCGAAGCCCCTCCGTGCCGCCACCCGTCCGGGGCCAGTGGAGAGGTGGATCCCCCCGTGGTTTGGAAGAGATGGCTGAACCCCACAGCTACGAGAATGGCTGGTGAACACTGCCTGTTTCCACCAATAGAATTCATCCAACTTCTGTAGCGATCCTACGGATCCTCAACATCAAGAGTTGCTGCACCAACCCTCATATGACTGGGGAGCACCAGTTTTGCTGCACCAACGAATCCGGGCGCCTCCCCGTGCAGATGGCACCACCCCACCTGCACGTCACTGGCTAACGCCTCTGCCAAGGCTTTGCTCGAGAGCGCCGAGACCGCTGACATGAGGCCTGGCAGTCCGACGCTGGTCCTGCTGGTCATGGTGACTTCATTCTGGGAAAACCAGAACGTCAGTGCACTGGTAGAATTTGTAGCGCTTGAAAAAGGCACCCGGTGGAAAGGGACCACTGATAAGCGCACCCGAATGAATCATGAAGAGAAAGAGTGACCATGAACGCACACCCATGTGGTGATCCACCAAGCAAAGAACAACTTTTAGATCTAGAAAACGATAGACATCACAGACAGGTGGAAATACCATTGTGTCTTTTCACCCCAAGACCATGTCTCTCCATGTTCCCCAAGACGATGTCGTCCATGTCACGGTCGTCGCGCCATGCGCCTGCCAGGCGTGGGCTTTGGGGTTCCAGCGGTGCCATGCAGCGGTAGCTCTTGCCGTCCTGGAACGAAAGGCTGAACGAACGAGACAGCGAAACACGAGACAGGGAGACCGAGTCACCAGGAATAAGCGGAATAAGCCGCAGTATCTAAACGCAACAGGGCTTGTTACACAGCTGTGGTTTTGTAAAGACGACCTGGTGCCAAAACTGTGCCGCGCAAGGGCGGGCGTATGTCGCATGCCCGCTACGCATACAAGTGGCCGGGGTCGCGAGGAGAAGTTGCTACAGCATGTGTGTGTGTGAGGTGCAAGAAGGAACTTATGACTTACGTAAACCCTGCGCTGCCTGAGCATTGCTCGGCGTGTGGTGTGTAAGACATGTAAGAACTGCCTGGTTTCTTTAGCACTGGTGGGCAATTGAGCCAAGGATTCGAGCATCGAGTCGCCTGAGGATGGCCACCGGGGTTTGGATGTCAACCTAATCAAAAGCTTTACAGCAGTCCAATCCACAGCAAACAGGGAATTGTTCCTTAAAGGGTGCATCATGTCAAGACAAGGAATGAAAGTGTCCGCATCCTGAGCACCGACCCCGCCGGTTTGATGTGGATGCGAACGCATGCAGATCCACAGCTTGTACAGCACAGGTCCCACCAAGATGGAGCGAGGGAGGACCAAAAACGGCGCTTGCACTGGAGGGGATGCCAACCACCCTCCACTTAGCCAAGTCGAAAGAAAAACGCAAAAACACAACTCGTTCACTCTTTCCAAGAAAAATGCGGAGAGTACCAAAGACAAAGCTTGGTATAGGAAGCTCTCGCATGGTGGCCACGACAAATCCGTCTGATCGGTTCTCCGAAACAACGACTGTGGCTTTAGCAAGGTCATGGCAGCCACGCGCAGCACAGGAGGTCATCATCTCTGCTGCGCGTGATAGCCAGCGCGCACACACCACTGACAGTTTGTCGATCGGTCTCTTTGCAATTGAGTTTCATGCTCTTCAGCACAAATTCGGCACTCACGCACCGCTTATTCGGAAGACCTTCTTCTCCCAGATTGCTTGTTGCAAGCGTTGGCCACTTGTCGTTTTTGTGACTTCAGAGCTGCTGCTCACGCCACAAGAAAACCACACACACCTCGCAAGCCACACACTCGCACTGCCATGCCAAGAGATCTGTGATTATCGGAGTTTCCATGCGAAAAAACCGTGCAGCAAATGCACAGATCTGCTGGTGGAACGTCGTCATTGGATTCTTCGTGCTGTGAAAAAAAAAAAAACACATCATTCTCGAATCGAAGCCCCTCTCCCGCTTCGGCAACCCCATTGAGACTTGAATTTGAACTAAAGAACCAGGCACGGGCGGTGCATTTTAACAGGAGCGCATTGATCAGCAGGGCACAAGAAGGCAATACCGAAATCGTCAAAGCTGTTCAAGCGCCGGCCACAACAGCATCTTCGGCATCTCTTTTAGGTGTCCTCTTGAACACACAAAATGTAGCCTTTAACATCTGAACTCCCTACTGTTCATTTGATTTTTTGTCATGGTTCCCCAAAGACTCAAATTGCATCCAACGGTGTGATGGTGAGCCTCTACTAGGTTACTATCAATAGGGAAGAAGATGGAATAAGTCAATATGATGAGGGAGAACCAAGCTGAACCTAAGCCTGCAAAAACGTTCAGTTTTGGAGTCACTTATAGAAAAATCCTAAGGTAATAATATAAAAGATACAATATATGGCTTGGCTAAGAGAGAATAAGAAATAAATAAAGCCAAGCCATTACATAAGATATAAATTATAAATGACATCTTCTCCAAATTATATAAGTAATACCATGAAATTTGGAGAAGATATTAATGTTCATGATCATTCATTTTCAATAAGAGATTATAAGGAAAATGAATGATGATAAGGAATAGCAACCCAAATAAGAGATTTTATAGAAGCAACATGGAGCTATGTGTGACATATGTGGGCGCCACCCCTGTGAGCTGGCGGAATGGAGTCATCTGCATGGAGTCATCGGCGGTCGTTCGGTCCGCATGGTTTCGCAGAAGTCGTCCCGAGACATCCGGTCGTCTCGGATGCTCTCTTTGCGGTCTGCGGCGCTACAACTGGAGGAGAAAATACGTGCAGAAGGAAGCTTCTCTTCTCGCTGTTTCGGGGTGACGAGGGGTTTCGGTCAGGCCGACCAGGGTGTCGTCGAGCCCATGACCCGAAGCAAAAAGTAACAAACAAACAAACAAACAAAAACGATAGAAACAAACAAAAATAATCAACTTAAACGTTCCCTTTAGGTTTTGGTTCTTCTTCGTTCTTCTGTTTTCTCTCAAAATATTTTCGGTCACATGGGGAACCCAAGCTCTTCAGCCCCGGCCCCACGCCTCCTTACTCCACCCCCACGCCTCGGTGCGCAGCGTGAAGCGGTGCGCCACGGCATCGCCGATCCAGGTGGGACGGCCCGGCAAGTCGTGGCCCAAATGATCATTCATCTGGACCTGGCAGACGAAACGTCACCCATCGGAGCGGAGCGCGAGCGCCATGGGGTCTGCGAGAGCGAGAGCGACCAGTGCGAGCGCGAGCGACCACGGCAGAAGACGGCCCGGGACTGCGGTCAGACCGTGAGAAAGGTCACGAGGCCCAAACGAAGTCATGACTCCAACGTGCATGCTTTATCCCATGCTTCCCAGTGCCATCATGGAAGAATTGTTCGCTCGACTTCTCCATTTCGGCATCCCTTTGGGGAGACAGAACAGTCCCACAGAACAGTCCCACGCTTTGGCCGTTAAAGACCGAAATCTCTTCGCTTCCCAAAGGTCGGCGTTTCAGCGTTCCGTTGGCCGTTCCACGTCGGAACGGAGTCGTTCGCGTGGGCTCGCGGTGCCACAAAGGTATCCCAGGTGGAAGGGTTGGTTGAGGTGCACTGAACATTGGAGACCTCTCAAGAATATGTTTTTTTCACTTGCGTGTGGGTGTTTGGGAGCGTGCGGATCGTATCCGGTTTGCGTTCCCGACATGGGTCGGCATGGGCACCCTAGGCACGGGTGACGAAAAGCGAGCTTGGCTCGGGCCGGACATAGAGGCCGGTAGTACCTTCAGTCAGGTATCAAGATCAAAATCAACTCCTTGATCTTCTTCATCGGTATCATCTTCGACCGTAAAATCACCAAGCTGCATGCGGGTGATCAAGGACTTCGCAACTCCATTGCGATAGCCCTCATCTGGAATCTGAAGTACCAGTTTGATTGCTGCCATTCCAACAGCTTTCGGGATCTTGAGGTCCTTGCATAAATCCAGGAACTCATTCACGATGTCAATGTCCTTGTTCAAACGATGAACAGAGGATAAACTGGCATAGGTCTTTGTAACCTTGTCAACATAGTCTTGAGACCAAAAATCCTCTTGAGATTTTCACTTGTACGGTCACCATCCGTCATAGTTGCTCGAGATTCATTCTCCGGCATATCGAGCGCAATCTTGCTTTGCGCTCCTTTTGCGATAGCCTTTACAAAGTGGCTGTCGATCCTTTCAACTGAAGCCCTGTTCCGAATGGCTTCAAGCTTTCTGAATGAGTCAGCACGTTCTCGTTCTGCCAATGCAACGGCTTCTGTTTTCCGCTGCTTTTCTGTCTCCGTTGCTTCTGGAAGACTTTCCGCAGACCTTTTCTTTGCCTGCGAATCTGCCATGGCAAGATCAAGTCGCATGGCATCCTCTTGGTCCTCTGGACTGGCATAGTTCGTAACCTCCCTGCCCACGAACTCTTTGTGGGCTGCAATAGCCAACTTTGCAGATACGTTATCAACTCCAACGTACCTCATAAAGCCATCATAGACGTCCTTGTCCATACCTCCATCCCAGTAGGTTGTAAGAGTTGGAATCTCCTTGGTTTCAAACTCTGGATGGCTGGGATTAAAATCCCACATTCTCTGGGGAGACGGGTTGTTCCTCCAACTGCTTTGTCAAGAAAGTTGCAAAGGTCTGGCCCATTCAAATGAGATGGGTTATTTCCGTAGGGAAATTGGCACATAGTGAAGATTGCCCTCTCCATCTTTGACTGCAATGTAGATCCAATTGCAGGACACGGCCTCTGCTTGAGGTAGTCCGTGACAGAGGCTCCAAACAGAATAGCTCTGAGGAGTCAATGGTACCTTCGCCGTCACTGCTGAGCGAATATCTGGCTGAAGCAGATCAAAGCTTCGGTTTTTCCACCCACAAAAATCCTTTGGTGTGAGTCCAAGGGTCGTCTGTACGAGATCCTTTGTGATGGCTAGCCCAATGAAGCTACCACCAAATGCGATCAATGCTCGCTCTGCTACGTTTCCTTCTGAAAGTAGCTCCCAGATGGTCACATTCAGACCAGCTCCTGGCACTCTTCCATAAAGAAAGTGGGTCAAACTGTCTGCCTGGCAATTTCCAGTCAGTGCTTTCCGGGATAGATCTCCTGGTAATCCAAGAACTTCAGACATGAATTGGACTGAGGTCTTATACGTGTTGCTGACAATTCCAGCAACATACTTTTTTTGAACGTCCACGGACAAGAAATCCTTGAGCATTGTAACAATGTGATTTCTGGACAGTCGCTTCATGATCATTTGCGGCTGGTAACTGCAAGAACTTGTGTAAGAACTTGCGAATTTTCTCAGATTCTGTATGGAGTTCGAGCATCCTTGCACGAACAGATGCTGTCGGTGCTGATCCCATGCCACCTGGAGCCATGGTGGCAAGATCGAACTTTGAGTAGTAGGACTCGATGTTGGATGACTTGGTGATGGTTTCTCCAAGTTCTTTTGCCTTTCCAAGAAGGCCTGCTGCACGATTCTCAATTGTTGCAGAACTCAAAGGCATATAGTCTTTGATCGTTGGATCCTTACTGGCTCCAGTTGAGACCCGTCCATCGGGTCCAATCATAAGGATTGTAGTAATCCCATTGTTTGCAAATGCACGTGGAACGCCATTTGCTTGAGCGACTCTTGTCAGAGCTGCATAGTTCTGGGTTGTACCCTGAGATGTTTGGGAAGTTTTACCCTTCCCTTTGCCCTTGGGCGCAGCACTCCTCTCAGGCTGCGTGATAGGGGAGTTTGAAAGAGATGCGCGTTCGCGGCGCACGTCCGACCATTTGGCTTGAGCCCGTAAGAATATATATATATATTTATATATTTACATTCTGTGCATGGAAGTCGCGCTGCGTGTGGGCGTGTCTTTTCTTGAGCCAACGTGTTATGGCGGTCTCGCCATGTTTTCAACGCTTTGCAAGCTATGCGACTTGTTCCGCGCTCCCCCTTGCGATTTAACTCGCAACTACCCGGTCTTTGACCAGGAAGAAACTAAACCCGCACCATTTGCCGTGCAGGTTAGGAAGCCCATCCTTGCGCCACTCAGCATCCAGGTAGATCAGCCGCTGCGAGAACGTCATGGTGCTCTAGTTGAGGAGCCATGCGACTGTCACCCTCGCATACTCCAAGTCCCGGATGTCTTCCGGTTGTGGCGTGGACCTGTGTTCCGGATGGAATCTCTGCACCCTCAAGCTGTGCCGCCTGACCAACCATGTAGCTGAAGGAAGGCGCAAGTAGTCCCACATGTCTGTTCTTGGAACAGGCCTGAATTTCGTGGCCTCCTCATCAATCAGGATTTGGACCTTGTCGAAGAGCTCTTGCGACCACCACACTGAAGGTTGGATCACCAAGGTATCTCCTTCGCATTCAACAGGAGGGACCGACCATCCGGGGAACTGCCGGCGATGGATAGGCTCGATGTGGATCATCTTGAGTCCCTTCAGATGGATGAGGAAGAGGGCCTGGTTTTGGCGCCGTCACCCAAGGAGGATATTCCTCCGGCCACGCCGATCCCAACCTGGCCGGCCGAGTGGTCACCTCATTCCCTTGATATGACGTCGAACTTTTGGATGTAGTCCCCAATGCCGCCGCCCCACTTTGCCGCCAGAGTCACCCAACAGCTCTGGTGGAGGACTCTTTCTGGGTTTGTAGCCCGACTTCAAGCCCTCGATAGTTTCAGCCACATGCTGAACATACTTCGGCAGCACTGGTGGAGGTTTTGGCAAAGGGCCTGACACTCCTTGTACATACTTTGGCAGAATGGGAGGAGATTTCGCCGGTGGACCTCCATCCATTCCTTGCTCATGCCCCGCTGAAGGCCTGGCGCGCGCTCGCAGCCTCTAGTTCTATGTCGGGAGCCTGTTGGCTACTGTTGGGGTCTTCTACAATCTGGGACACTGAAGTCCAAGACCCTTGCGTGCGGCCCGACGCAACTTCATTCATGGCCTCTTGGTCTTTTCTTGTACTTGTTTCTTGTTCTTTCTCTTCTTGTTTCGACCTTTCTTGGTCTGTTTGTTCCCTTGTCAGACTAGTCCGCAGGGTGCACAGTCGGGCTTTGGTCGCCACTAGGGATTCTCCCCCGGAGCTACATCTGGTGGTTTGACCCTGGAAAACACGTGGTTTTGAATCCCCAGCGTTGACCCCCCTTCTACCAAAAATTCTAATAGCTTCGGCAGCTAAAGCAACACTCAGTGATGCCACCACCGCCACCTTGACAATCTGGTTTGGCCACCCAAAGAAGGCAGCAAACATAGCGCAACCTTCGCCAGCCGCACCCCTCCATCATTTTCACCCTCCGGAACCTCACCCTCCTGGTTGATGTTCTTCTCCCCCCAGGTCCACCATTTTGATGAAGTTGCAGAACCTCTGCCAAGCCGTCTTCACAGCAATCGCCTTTGTGAGAAAGTCGGCGATCAGCTTTGTTCCCTCAAGATGGTAAATCTGCCAGGTTCCCAAGCGTGATCGTTCCCTCAAAGCATAGGAACGAAGGCGCAAGTGGCGTGTTCGCCATGGACCATCAGGTTGTCGAATGATGGCAATTGCCGCTTGGCTGTCTCCATATGTGATCACCGCTGGCGGCTCTTCCACCCCCAACACCTCTGTCATAGGCTGTCCCCCATGACGGACGATTCAATGTACGCCAGTAGTTCAGCCTCAGCAGTCGACAATGCCATGCAGCTCTGCCTCGAAGATTTCCATTGTACCACTCCTCCACCAATCATGGCCACGATGCCCTGAACACTTTTTTCCCCTTGAGGAGCGTAAGAAACATCACAGTAGATCTCCACCAAGTTCATGCTTCTTTCTCGAGCCAATGCCTCATCGGGGCCACGGTCCTTCTCCTTGCATCTTCCATAGGCCAGGAAGCGCTCGTCAGTGGCGTTCAGGTACTCCAGAATGTAGTATCCTGCCTGCAATGCCCAACGTGGTCTTTTTGTCACTGCTCCCCCCAGTGCTCCAATAGCAAAAGCAAGGTCCGGACGGCTGCGCACAGCCACCCACAAAATTTCTCCAGCAATGGCCTGAGCCTGGCGGATTTCCTCGATCTTGATGTTGTCTTCCTCCTCCACAAGGTGGGCATGTTCCTTCGGCAACGGTGTTGACCTTTTGGCCGTGATCTTCCGTCGACGGATTAGATCTTGTAGATAGGAAGGTTGTCCCACCAA